TTTCTCACTCTGTATGTGTGCAAGTGTTTGTTCCTTGCTAAGTGGAGTACTTTGCCTTTGCCCTTATGTGAAATGATGTCTCTTTAAATTTCAAAATTTGGGTGGATCCTCCTAACATTGTGTGTTCTTTTAATTTGCTTATTCATTATACTGTGTGTTAAGAATCTTTCCTGAAAACTTATCAGTATGAAAACTAAAGTGGAAAATCTGTCCCTTGTCTGGATCACACAAGCCAGAAGCCAATCTTATTTTTTAAACTTCTGCTGCAAGTGCAAAAGCTGGATAGATTGTTGGCTGAATCAAGTCTCAAAGAATGTAAATGCAAGGACTAAGCAATATGCTATGATTGAAATGCCCATTTTGGTTTGCTGTAAGCAAATGAATATGTGGCTCAGAGAAGCAATGGAAAGGAAGGAAAGAAGGAGGAAAGGAAGGAAGGAAAGCAAGCAAGCCAAATTTCTCATGGTAATAGCTGATCATATTTTGTTTTTTATTTAAAAAAACAAACAGTCCTTCAAACACAACACAAGAAAATGCCCATTGATTAATTTATTTTTCAATTTGTTAAGCTGTCAAGTTGTATTTACTAACTTTAGTCATGATGAGAAAATTCAACTTGTACTTCTCAATATGACTGACAATACTAAGTACAATTAACCAGCAACAGGCTGTCAGTCAGAATAGGACACAAACACTTTAAAGCCAGAAGGGACCATCATGATCATCTAATCTGATCTCCTGCACATTGCAGACCACAGACCCTCATTCATATGCTCCTGTAAATAGACTTTTAACCAAGTTACTGAAGTCTTCAAGTTATGATTCAAATACTTCAAGTTACAGAAAATACACGATTTATATTAGTTTAAACTTGCAAGTGACCCGTGTCCCACACCCATGTCTTGAGCACTGAAAGCACACAGTCCTACCACTCTAGCTAAAGGCATTGCCACTAAGGAGTTATAGTAGCAGGCTTCTCTGGTCCAGTCAGTGGCGAAAGATATGGTCTCATATACCTAGCCAGTATGTTATAAAACTCACATAGGGCTGCTCTAAAAACAGAAGAAAGGCAAAGGGTTAATTGTTTTGAATACCTTTTAAAATACTCTTTTACTCATAACCAATAGGAAGTTTAGAATCACCTATTTGGTACCCATGGCAGTGAGTGTATTAAACTTACTGCCTTGGCACAGGATGGTGTGTATGTCCAGTGTAAGAATTATATGCTATGCACTGTACTTGAAGATCTTTTCACCTTTTTATTGCTAATGTTATTGATTTATTATATTTAAATTGGGAAATCATTCTTAACGCAGTGCACAGCAATAAAACATGTGAGCAGGCTCAGTAACTGAGCCTCATTGTTTTCATACTGGTGTTGATCTCTTGTCTCATATTTGAAAGTAGTTCTAACATTAGATTAGACTCTACACTGCCCTTAGATTACATAGATTATCATACTCATTCCTATTTATACACATAGAGGACAAATTATTGCATTGTGTCAATAAATGATAATGGCAGAAATGAGCTGAACTTCTTTAGGAAATGCCATGTTCAACTGAATGTGGGGGAGACTCAGAAACCTAAGAATAGTGCAGGATGGTATGTGTGTATTTAATGTATTTAATTGTGATGACATGCCCATTTCTGAAGAGCAAAGTCCAGAGGAGCCAGCAGCCTGGACCCCAGTGTTCAGGGAGAGTCAGATGGTGCATGGGCCTGGAGAAGCTGGTGCAGGTCAGCCAGTGGCCTAGGATTTGGGGCAATTGAGGCAGAGCTGCTCCAGGCACAGTGGGAGGCTCAGGGAGAAGGTAGACAGGAGTAGGGTTGGGATTAGAAGTTAGCTTCCCTGAATGGGGGCCTCATGAATATTTCATGTGGAATAGTATTGCAGAGAAACAATGAAAGCAGCCCTGCAAGTCCCTGGTACTAGCCCACTGCCCTGACATGGGCAGACGACCCAGAAGGGCAAAACGGTAACTTTGTCTCCATGGCCATTCACTTCTTGGTCTCGCTGCTAAGGCTGCCAACAAGGATGGCTGCTGAAAGTCTGTAAAGAAGTAGATTATTAAGCAAAAATCTGCTGTTTATTCAGTGCTTATAGCTCGAGTATCACCTTTGAATTCTTTTGTGTACTGAAATACCATAAACTGGAATGAGAGATGCAGGTTAATTGAATATTCTAGGTAACAGAGAGTTATACTTTTCCAATGGAATACCAATTTTCAAAGAATTTGAATACAATAAAATGAATAGACTAAAATACACTGTGCTGCAGAGTGGCTGGTTTGTTGAAGCACTTTGGGCTCATCTAGACTACATGGCTCCGTCAACGGAGCCATGTAAATTTGTTTACTCAGCAAAGGAAAATGAAGCAGCAATTTAAATAATCGCTGCTTCATTTAAATTAAAATGGCTGCCGTGCTGTGCCGATTAGCTGTTTGGCAGCACAGCGCTGTAGTCTGGACACTCCACGGTCGACATCAAAGGCATTTGTCAACCTCCCCATTATGCCTCATGGGATGAGGTTTACCAGGGAGGTCGACAAATGCCTTTGATGTTGACTGTGGAGGGTCCAGACTACAGCACTGTGCTGCCAAAGAGCTGATCGGCACAGCATGGCAGCCATTTTAATTTAAACGAAGTGGTGATTATTTAAATCGTCGCTTAATTTCCCTTTGCCTACAACCCGTCGATGGAGCCATGTAGTCCAGACATGCCCTTAGATGTATACAGATAAAGTGGGAGAGGTCTAGGTTGGATATTAGGAAAAACTATTTCATTAGGAGGGTGGTGAAGCACTGGAATGGGTTACCTAGGGAAGTGGTGGAATCTCCATCCCTAGAGGTTTTTACATCCCAGCTTGGCAAAGCCCTGGCTGGGATGATGCAGTTGGGATTGGTCCTGCTTTGGGCAGAGGGTTGGACTCAGTGACCTCCTGAGGTCTCTTCCAATCCTAGGATTCTATGATAGTTTTCTATACAGTAGATTGTCTTATGATACTAATCACTGTGGGCAGTACAGGGAGTTCATCCAGATCACTAAAAATACACTTAACACTAAAACTGTCCTGAACATAATTGAATCTTTCTTTGATGATTCAGAAGGCATTTCAGGATCTTGCAGTGCCTCAGGGTCATCATTATGAACATCAGTTATCATTATAGATGTAGAAGGGTAGGAGATTGGGCTAAATCTGTAATGACCCTATGACGCAACCCTGGTAGATGTTTTTTAATAATCCCCGATATCAGCTTGCTTACATGTCTTCTGCCTCTTTTGCATAAAACTAGAGTACAGCATGTGCAATTGCATAGTGGACTGGGCAATAGACTAGTCCCAGTTTAGTACTAGAGTTAAGATTTCTATTGGGAGATGTCAGGAATACCAGTTAATTGAGATTTCTGGTTAATTGAGTGCCAGATAACAGATCTTTTACAGTATATTTTTGTGCATAAAACTCACTAATTCATATGACCAAGAGTCTGGCCCTTTTCATTCATTCCTACATTAAAAATTGCAAACTGAGATTTTATGAGATTGTTCATTGAAAGCAAAAGTGTCATGGATTTTTGTATAAATTTTATGTGTCTCATAAGCAGTACTTTCAAGGTCTTTCACTTTCCTCTTCCTGGCTATAAAAATATCACTCAATCAGTGAACAGAAGCAATATAATGTGACATAGGTGACTATGTTTGCATGCAAACTGCAAATGGGTGAATATTCACATCAATACCCATAGCAAATAGTGTGCCATAAGTCTATGTTCACGCAATTGTGTGCCATAAGTTTTGTTAACACAATTGATTCATTATAAAAATTCACAAGGAGGCAAATTCTTAAATTACAAATGGTGATAACTTCCAAACAGGAACAGAGGATAAATTCTCTCCGTTATTTAGTTATTTTTTGTGAATTGTTCAGCCAGGTGTATTTATAATACTACAAACTTCATTTGGTTGATGGAAATGATGTCAGAACAGGTTGTTCAATATTACAAAATAGGAGAAATAAACTGGTTATATGTAGGGACATATCCTAAAGATGGGACATGATATTTAGGAATGATTAAATCTATTGTTTAATCATTTAATATTGCTCCTCTGTTTTTGCTTGGACAGTCAATACATTTTAAGCATATATCTAATATGTAGAGTGAATGTATTTAACATGACTCATAATCACAGTGCTCAAACACAGAACTGGATCTGGTTAAATGGGGGAGGGGACACTGTTTGTAGACATTCTTATTAATTCCAAATGGCTTTACATTGCAGCCGTGTGCTCTTTTATATTAGTTATTGGTGAACATTAGTATATTACTTATCAATGAGGACCTTTGCATGATGGCTCTGCACAGAATCACCAATATTGCATGGGAGCAAGGACAGTGTTCAGAAATAAGCGTTTTACACTGTTACTTAGTATTTATTTGCCATGGACAATTTATTCTGCTATTTAAAAGGAGCAGAAGAAATACAATGTATCTTGACTGGATCAGTCACACACCACAAATTAAGACTAGCCAAGAGGCAAAGCTAATGTTAGTGAACACTCTGTAGAATAAATCTCACTTGTCTGTGTTCAGTAAACACTTATGCTTCTGAATCTTATTTACAGTAAGGCTACATCTACACTACAGACTTCTTGCGCAAGAACTGTTTTGGGCAAGAGTTCTTGCACGAAAGGTCTTGCGCAAGAGCGCATCCACACTGCCATGCGCTTTTGCGCAAAAGCGTCCGTGGCAGTGTGGATGCTCTCTTGCACAAGAAAGCTCTGATGGCCATTTTTAGCCATAGGGGTTTCTTGTGCAAGAAACCCCTGTTGCCCATCCACACTGCCTTCTTGTGCAAGAGCTCTTGTGCAAGAGGGCTTATTCCTCATGGGGAGAGGAATAACTCTAGTGCAAGAAGCCCTCTTTTCTGATGTTTTACTGTAAATTTACTTGCACAAGAACACGCGTGCAGATAGAAGCTCCACAAGTTTTTGCACAAGAACAGCCATTCTTGCGCAAAAAACCTGCAGTGTAGACATAGCCTTAGGGTTCCTTTGCACTGAATTTGTAAAAATCCAACTACTGTATCTTGATGAATAGCATATGAACAGAAAAGTAAAACAACAATGTGCACAAATTATCCTCTGAGTCTATAGGAATGTAGCAGGTAACTGCTCCCATAACTTGTCTAGGTCACCAGCTACTGTCACTGCCACTGTCCACATACAGATGGAACACTCTGGTCTGAACATCATCCTGCAAAGCCTGCAAAAAATAAAATATAGCTTAGTTAGTCCTGTACTCTGCCAACCTAATGACTGGAAGCAATTCCCTTTAATTGTCCCCTTCTTGGAATTTTGTCAGCAGGACTGTTTGCAATACTGCAGCTTTTCAGGCAAAGCCTGGATATCAGTAAAAGTTCATGTCACCTGCTATCTTGCTTTCACAAATCCCTTTTTATAAGTAAAAACAGTTCCTGGTTAAATGGCATTACAACTATAGTAATAAGATGAATTATAAACCAGCTTTGAGATTTAATGTAAGGGAACTAAACTTTTAAACTAATGTTATTTCTAAAAACCTGCATCACTATGAATCTGGACACAATAATGTATAGTGATAATTTTAACAATGTCCCACTAGTTACTAGAGAACAGATAATTAAAATATGGCTGGGTGAGTGTTACACTCTGGCCAATAAATAGTCAATAGAAGTTGTTCTTCTTAGTTGGCCCTCTGCAGGATTTTACTTGGTCTAGTGCTCTAACTCATACTATTTGGATTTATAGCAACAAGTACTAATAATCTAATGTTCCAGCACTAGCCAGTATAATATGTTCATTATGCCAACCAGATCAGACAACTTTTATGTGGACCAGTATATTTGATTTTATGAGGTTTTACTATTTGTTTGCTTATTAGTGTGATCAGCCTTCATCCATAGTAATAACTACAGATGGTGAACAATGTATGACAGTATCTACACAATTGTCTGCTGAGGAGCAGCTGGTAGCAGGGAAGCATGGTCCCTGCCACCACAAGCTGGCCCCTGGAAGCAGCTTGTGGGTGAGCTGCAGGGCAGCCATCTCCCTGGACCGGCCCCACGGAGCAGCCAGCGGGTAGGCCAGCCCCGGGTAACAGCTGGTAGCCAAGCTGTGGAGCCCCTGCCACTCGGGATTGGCCCCAAATAGAAGCCAGCAGCTGGGCTGCATAGCACCCGCTGCCCTGGCCAGCCCCAGGGAGATATTAGCAGCCAGGCATCATGTCCCCCACCCCAGGACAACCCCAGAGAGCAGAAGTTGCCACCCCACCCATTCCCTGAGCTCCCCACAGCCTCCCCTGACTCCTCCCACACCTCCCAACCCTCTTCGTTGACTCCTGCAGCCTGACAGTCTGCCCTGAGCCCAGTAGCTAGAAGAATAGCAGCTTACCACTGAGATCACAGGATGATTTGACAATTAGGGACGGGTGAAACTCAGTAGCTGCACAGTCCTGGATCACTTCAGAGAAACATCCAAAAGTTTGGATATTTTTCAAAGCTTAATTAAGCTATATGAATCTCTGCAGTCTGAAAAATTGGGTTGGAATTGTGCAAACAACATTCCTAATGACAGTTAGAGACTGTTGGAGCTATTATTTAGTTTTTCTGGTGCTAACATTCTCCGGTAAACAGTAACGGGGAAACTTTTCTCAAGGGAAGAGATTTCTAATTTTTCCCAATGTTTCACTGATTCCTATTGCCAGACTAGCATGAGAGATGCCTGTATATAAAATATTTCTTATTGCAATTAGTGGATATTTTCCATCTGTATCATCTCTAACTATGTCACATTACAGTTCTAATGCATGCAGTGGTAGCTATTGTAATATCTTATTTTTTGTGAAAAATCATCCTTTTATCATATCTTAATATTGGGCAGATGAAGGATCTGTAAAAAGCCAAAAATTAAAATACTGAAGCTAATCTAGCTCCTATGCTAATAGAAAAATGCTGATACACAATGAGGGTTTGGTACTTAATGCAAACCTAATTATTTTATCTAATTGCTAGTACTGCACACAGTGCACAGACCCTATTCCCTTCCTTCCTCCAGAGACAGCAACTTTGTCCAATGGATAAAGGTGAGACGCTAAATCAAACTTATGTTTGGGGGATTTTGTAAGTATTGATATTGTCCTCGAAACAAGTACTCTTGTTTTTATAATATAGGTACAGAAGGGACATGGCTCCTTTTTCATTTGCCCATTCCATTTAAAATTATTCTCTGTGTGTTGGTGTTGCCATTGTTGGCAATAAATGGACTAAAAATAGTGTGTTTGCTAAGGGCTGTGAAAAAAAGGAAGAGAGTCTCACAGAGGGAGATTGTGGCTGGTTTGTTAAGGTACGTCTACAAAGTATCCTGAAATAGCTACCCTGTGTCTTTTGAATGTGCCCGCTCTTTCCACAGGGGTTAAGAGATGTCTTGAACTAGCGCATTATTTTGAAATTCAATAAGATATGCAATTTGTGAAGCGCAAGTTGTGTATCTTATTTTGAATTTAGGGTGCTGTGTAGATGCACCCATAGTGATGTTTGTGGACAGCTATAGATAGCTGAGTAGGAGGAGCAATCCTTTAGAGTTCCACTTGAGATGTAAATTGTCTGTTGATTTCCATTGCAGTTGCATTCTGGCCTAATTCTTCCCACCCTTTCTGGCTGTCTTCTGGACTAGCTCCTACTCTCAATCCCTCCACACAGCCAAACACACTTGGCAGGAATGAGTCTACTTTCACCCTGAAGCACTATGGGCATTAGAATTGGCTGGAAAATCAATGCAGTTTTTCTGCAAATTGGAGGGGGGACAGGCAGTCCAACAATAAATGCAAACTGACTGGAACTCTTTTGTTTCACTACAAATTAAAAGTTTGTTTTTGTTTCAGGATTTAAAAATAGAATTACATTTTGTGTTCCCTTTTCTTTCCCTCTTTTTACCTCTCCCTCTTTTTCCACTGGATAAAGAGAGGAAGAATTAGAAAAGAAAGAGTGGGGGAAGAGAACAGGGGTTTGTTTTGCTCTGTTCTTCTCCCCATCTCTTACACATGTGGCTTGTCTTTATTATAGTAGAATTTAGTTTTTCCCAGTCAAAAGTTAAAACCATCATCCCCTTGCCAGTGTTCTAATCAGAGTGGCCTTCAGTACTGCATTTTTCACAATGCCTGAAAAGCCAGCTCCCTGGGAAGCTGACAGCAGAGGCATCCTTCTGTCATAAGCATTTTGCAATTGATGTCCACAGGAACAGGATAACATATATTGCTAATACTGATTTGCTGTGTCGTCCATGTGTGGAATATGGGATAGAACCCAGAGGATTTAGCATCAAAACACAGACCACTTAAAATTGTCTCTCTGGGCTGCAGTAGGACTAGGGTTTGGTTGCATCCTCTCAGAATGTCAGTCATTAGAGACAGATGTATCCATTTACACTCAAAAAGATCTGATACGACATCCAGCAAAGACCTACCCAATCCAGATAACTGTAACACATATTCAATATGGAACCACCATATAATTTTGCTGTTATCTCTTTTTTTCACTATTACTACTATTTCTATTCACAAGAAGTTACATATTCCATGCCAAAACCGACAATCCTTTAGAATAATAGTTACAATAGTTTGCTGTCGAGACTTATTTTCAACAATTAACTAGGGCTACTATTACAACAACACAGCAAGTGATGCCATGTAGAAATTGACAACAGTGTAAACTGTGTACTAAGACTGAAATGTTAAAATCCCACAAATCTACCAAAAAAAAAACCCCCACACCCACCTGCATACCTTCATAGCTGTTGAAAAAGGCATTCATCACAGATGCCATATGCTGGGGTAGTTTTCAATCTGCCACAATCTACCTGATCAAGAAACAAAGTTACCTGCTGGACAAACAACAGAAAAATAATACTACAACCATGTAGCAATAGGTAGTTTCTGTTAATACAAGTAAGTTCCCTGAAGATTATTATTATAGTGTTGTTTCTTTTACTATTAACAGACAAAAATATTATAAACTTAAAAAACAACAAATAGTCTGGTAGCACTTTAAAGACTAACATGTTACAAAGAAGGAAAAGGAAAATTACAGCTGTTCGGTGAACAATACATTTTTCATATACTGAGCTCTGATCAAATTCTTTCTCATTAATATAGTGCAAGCAGAGTTCTCTGTGTTATGAGTAAAATTACTTCATTAGGTTTTGTTTCTTTATTTACCTGAATCTGAAGCAAATTTCTCTTTCCAGAATATATTTCATTAAGCCTTATTTATTATTAACAAAATATAGCTACTAAAATGAAAATATCCTCTTTGGAAAATGAAAGTTGGAATAATGAGTCTTGATTAAGGTTTTCTGTATCTAAACAAAGTAATAAGAGGCATAAGTGCTGTATTATAGTGTCACAAAACTTCTTCCTCTCTGATTACTGCTGTTCAGATTTATTGTCTAATCGCCTATCTGCGCCACATACCAGTTTTTAATATGAATAGCACATATTACCAGTTCTTTCAGTAATGGACCTCTGTTTCAGAGTCCTACATTAAGTAGTGGCTTGTGAGATGAAAATAATGATTATGGCCAGTGTCTTTTAAAAAAAGAAATGAGGCTTCAAATTGAATTTCATGTCACAGACTTGCTCCAAATCTCATGTGTCCATGCAAAAATGTAAAAAGCAATAATAATTAAAGTGAACTTTTATTAGTCTCGGCACTGCTCCACACCAATGTGTATTATTATGGACACACTTACTGTTACAGCATACTGCACATGAGCCATTAAGAAGCACACCCTTTTAGACTCACATTTTCTTCACTTTTTAGCATTTGCAGGTTAGACTGGCTGTCTTGCATATAATTGAAAAGTGCAACCACTTACACATTTTCTTTACTTACTAGAAATGTGATCTGCAAGGCCTTTCCTTCGAACTGAGAATGATTCTCTTTTCTCCATCTTGCCACTGAAGCAAAGCACTGAGTAAGAAGCAGGGCAGAAACTCATGATCCCCTCAAAACTGCAGCAGAGACTGTCTCAGAAGGCAGGCCCCTTTTGAAGCTGCTTGGCGCACAGAGGGATCCTGCCTTCTGTACTGTAGCTGGACAGCCTGGGTCATGGCCACCACAAATTAATCACACACATTCCTGGGAGTACTTGCAGTGGCTGTACTTGGCCCAAGCCCTTCTGCCCCCACCCCATTCTCCCACATTAAAGCCAAGCAAAAACAACCCTTAATCTATGTAAATATGTTTGGATTGGTAATGTTACACGTATTTGCTGAAACATATAAATACTCTGTAGCTGAAAGTGACTCCTACCGTGCAGATGTTCCACACAGGAACTCAGCATGAAAGTGCCGCACAGGGGGAACTGCAGGATGAGACCTCAGCTTAAAACAATTTAAAAGCAGAAAGCCAGACATTTAAAGCATGTTACCAATGCTCTGCCTATTTGCAACTGGTCTCATTTCTTATATGGGGTCTGATCCTGAAAGTGTTCCCGTGCCAAACTCCTGTTGGCATCAGTGGGAGTTGGGTACAACACACTTGCAGGCTTAGGCCTAGCCTTTGTCAGTATTGTAATGGTCTTGGAATTGAAATACAGAAAAAATAACCCAGGTTGGGACTTTCAAAAGCTCTTAAGAGAGTCACAGAAGGGGATTAGAACCGCTGCCTCCTTTGGTGAAGATCCCAGTTTAACCATAAAAATGTAGGGACCAATCCTGCCACCTTCACTTGTGTAACCCCATGGAAGGATAAACATTCTGGGTGTGTCTAGACTACAGGATTTTTTTGAAAAAAGTGGCCTTTTTTCGAAAAAAAAATCCCCTGCATCTAGATTGCTGCTATGTTCTTTCGAAATTAAATTGAAAGAACGCCGCAGTTTTTTCAACCACAGTAAATCTCATTTTATGAGGAAGAACGCCTATTTTTGAAAGCGCTCTTTCAAAAAAAGGCGTTCTTGAATGCAAACGGCTTTTTCGAAGGAGAGCATCCAGACTGCCTGGGTGCTCTCTTTCAAAAAAGCGGCTCCCTTTTTTGTAAGAAGTGGTTGCAGTCTAGACACTCTCTTTCGAAAGAGGCTTGTAGTCTAGACATAGCCTCTGTAAGCTATAACTGCAGAAAAACAAGTGGTGATGGAGCAGCTATGTCTCATGTGGGTAGGGAGGTGATCAACAAGGGCCTGTGGACACAATGGCTGCCTCTGTCCTTCCAATCCCTGCTATACTACCAGTAGATCTCAAGAGTGGAGAGGATATTCAGAAAGAGGCCCAGCTCAGTTAGAGACTGGCCATGCAACAAAGCAGAGCACCACTTTGTCCTCAGCAAGGGATGCCTAGTTCCAGACAAGACTCTTGAGGCAGCTTGCTACCTGAACATATCTCCTGAAATAGAATGACTAGGCTGAGGAAGACTGACAAGAAGTACCGGCCACATGGAGACAAGCCCTGAACTGAGGAGAGGGTTCTGCTGATGAATCTTTGGATTACCCTGATTTTGAGTTAACTGTTTTCCTTTTATTTTTGGACTCTATAAAGGGTGCTGTAGCCAGAGCATTAGGGCACCAGGCACTAGACCTGTCAGAGGTGGTACCCACCCATGGAAGACCCTCAGCTAAGTGAATCATGACCTGATGGGATACAGGGGGGCACCACTTAGACAACTGGCAAAGTTGCAAGCCTGGATCTAGCCATTGTGGAAGGGAGTATGTCAGTAGCCTCCCCAGCAGGCCCTATCAGAAGAGGGCAGGGGCAGGAGGGCCATTTGACTCAGGTCTCAGGAGACAAAGGGGCCTCAAACACTGACATTTTTCTACCAAGTCATTTCAATGTATTATACATCTTGCAATTATAACAGAGACAACAAAAGAATCTATATATATATATATATACCTATGTATACCTGCAAATAATTGATTTCAGTCATTGTGGGACCTCAGGCCTTCTCCAACTTTTCATCATGACTGCAACAGTTTCTGTGATTAGTGATTCTACATCATGAAATGCTGTTTATAGAAATACTGAGGTGATGTCTACACTCCATTTCCTTTTCAGAAAAAGGTGCACAAATTTTTCCGATTCTTTTTTCAGAAGAGGCTTTTCCGAAATTTGGCCCATCTTCACTGGGCCAAATTTCAGAAAGAAACCTCCTCTTTCAGAAAGGCCCTTCTTCCTCATGAAACATGGTTTACAGGGCTTCTGAAAGAGCATGTCTGCTCTTCCGGAAAAAATTCTGAAGTGACCTCCTTTTAAAAATTATTGTCCACACCTGATATAGCTGCTAATTTTATGTTACAGATAATATGCTAGTAGCTTCTGATGTGTTTTCAACCGATTCAAAAAAGTCCAACACATGTAAGATAGAATACATCACTCAGACATTCTGCATGTTCATATAAGCATTCATAATCCAACAAAACATTATAAATGTAATTGGACTGTAAATTGCCTATACTGTATATGTTAATTTAAACTTTTTAAAACTTTTTACTGGTCAGTTCTGACAATCTTTATGGGAGAAGTTCCATTGTCTTCAATTTTGAATGAAAATTTCATTGTGCAATAGGTAACTTGATGCATTTTAATGTACAGTAGCGTGTCATTCATGCAATGCCATTAACAAAACAATTCAAAATTATTAGAGGTTAAGAAATAATTTCATAGGGTTACCATTCACCAAATCAAAAGGCTGCTCTTCCCTTTCTTAGCTAAGTGCTTAAGCTAGTTGCCTTCCCTCAACTGTCCAATAGTCTCTCACACAACATCTTTAGCCAATTTGAATGTGGTTTTCATGGTGGCCATACTATGAACCCAATGTACCAGTACTCTAGATAAGTATTGGTGAAAGATACCATTATAGTGAGAAAACATCAGGGATATGGAATAGCCTGTGAGAGAAATATGCTCTGAACATAGCTTCAAGAGCCAGGGACTCCTGAGTTCTATGCCCACTTTTGCCACTGACAGTTTTTATCTTGGGGAAGTATTATCACTTCTCTGCCTCGGTTTCTGCACCTATAAAATAGGGATGGGTACTTATCACCAATACTTTACAGAAATTTCAAAATAATAAATAGATACTGAAATGTATTGCTCAGCAGTATTAACAAAAATGCAGAAATAATAACCCACACTCCAGAAAAATCCCAAGACACAAGTAATTGTATTAATAAAAGCCAACCAAATTTCTGTGGAGTGGTTTTAACCCAGTTTGGATATATCATTGCATACATAAAGGTATTTACCCACCCAATTTACATGGAAATATTAATTAGTCTGAGAGCAAGATATGTTAACCTCACTTGGAGTATTGTGTCGAGTTCTGGGCACCACGTTTCAAGAAAGAGGTAGAGAAATTGGAGAGGGTCCAGGGAAGAGCAACTAAAATTATTAAAGATCTGAAAAACATTACCTGTGAGGGAAGACTGAAAGAACTGGGTTTGTTTAGCTTGGAAAAGAGAAGCCTGAGAGGGGTCATGATAGCAGTTTTCAAGTACCTAAAAGGGAGTTACAAGGAGGATGGAGAAAAATTGTTCTCCTTGGCCTCTGATGATAGGACAAGAAGCAATGGGCTTAAATTGAAACAAGGGAGGTTTAGGTTGGACATTAGGAAAAAATTCCTAAGTATCAGGGTGGTTAAACACAGGAATAAATTGCCTAGGGCGGTTGTGGAATCTCCATCACTGGAGATATTTAAGAGCAGGTTGGGATAAACATCTGTCAGAGATGTTTCTAGATGGTGCTTGGTCCTGTCATGAGGACAGGGGATTGGACTTGATGACCTCTTGAGGCCCCTTCCATTTCTAGTATTCTATGATTCTATGATGACCTCTTTTGTCTTCAAGGTGTATCTGCAGTAGGCATA